TATCTACTAGACAAACATGTATATTTATCTACAATATATCTACTAGACAAACATGTATATTTATCTACAATGTATCTACTAGACAAACATGTATATTTATCTACAATATATGCAATTGATACATTGTTCCTCTGTATTCTCTACTGTATATAATCTACCAGGGATACTCGTTAATTTGGCAGAAGTCTCACAGCCAGACTTTAGCTCAGCCAATACTAACAAAAACTCAAGGTTGCAAAAAGAGGTTTTAATTAGTAACGTTTCTTCATCCCAGGAATATAAAGTATTCTTTTTTTCTATAGAAATTAGACAATTTGTTTACAACATTTACAGTTTGTTTACTTAGTAGAGAACCATGATAAATAAAATTAGACAGGGTAGGCCCAGGGACCATTCGAGGGAAATAAGTTTACACTGGGTAGGTCCAGGGACCATTCTCAGAAAATTAGCTTACACTGGGTAGGTCCAGGGACCATTCGAAGGAAATTTGTTTACACTGGATAGGTCCAGGGACAATTTGAGGAAAATAAGTTTACACTGGGTAGATCCAGGGACCATTTGAGGTAATTTAGTTTACATAGGGTAGGTTCAGGGACCATTCTAAGAAAAGTAGTTTACACTGGGAAGGTCAAGGGAGCATTCTGAGAAAATTAGTTTACCCTGGGTAGGTTTAAGGATCATATTCCAGGCAAATAAGTTTACACTGTGTAGGTCTAGGGACCATTTGTAGGAAATTAGTTTACACTAGGTAGGTCCTGGGACCATTTACGGGAAATAAGATTACAGCGGCTAAACCCAGGGACCAATTGAGAGAAATAAGTATACACTAAGTAGATCCAGGGACCATTCGAGGCAATTCAGTTTTCAAGGATAGGCCCAGGGACCATTCGAGGCAATCAAGTTTTCACAGGGTAGGTCCAGGGACCATTCCAGAAAAATTAATTTTTACAGGGTAGGTCCAGGGACCATCCGAGGCAATTTAGTTTTCGCAGGGTAGGTTCAGGGACCATTTCAACCAAATTAGTTCACAAGCACATTGTTTTTTTTTTACATAATTTACTAATTTACAAAATCACTGAATTTTTTATCTCAATTAAAAAGATTATTTTCAAAAAGCAAAAAATTTCATGAAAAGATTGTTATTTGTTTTATTTATTTGTTCTGTGGAAAAATAAACAATAGTTTAATAATCCGTTCCTAGATGGTTCTGTCGTTAGGATGGACCTCCAATCTTAGGTTTGTATCTCGTACTTTAAATCATTTATTCAATGTTTGAGTAAATATTATTTTTGTTGATTTATATCACGTTTTTAAACAAACCTGTGTCTCTAAGGACGGGTGAGAATCAATAAAAAAGATCCTTTCAAAGATCCAAACATTTTTTGAAAAAAAAAAATTTATACGGTAACTTCAAAAATATATGGAACTCACAAATGGTATTATTTAATATAATCAATAAGCACATTAAAAGAAAGGTTGAAAATTAACTTCAGTCTGGTGACTCTCCTTTTCAAAAGTGTTACTTAAAACTAGACCTTTTAAACCTTTTTCTGATCAATGATAATTCCTTAACCCTATATATAAAGGCTTGGGGGTCTACATCTCTGTATAGCCTGCCTCTCCCCCCCCCCCCCATTGAAAAAGGTATCACAGGGTTGCTATGAATGTCCACGTCTACATTGCTTTATACTACCCAGGTCTAGTGTGTTGTCTGTGAGAGTGTTGGATCTAGTTTCTCCTCCCTGGATACTCTTCCAGACCCTCATCATTATCCTCTCATCTCATCAGTCCAGTATGGCGTATAATGAGAGATATCTATCCAAACTGTAAGTAAATATTTTTTCTATTGTTTAGTTGTAAAAAATTAAAAGCAGAATGATTGTCGTTTTTTTGCTCTTTTTCTTAATTATAAAACTGTTAAGGTTTTTGTTACTTCTTACAGTTCATTGATTTTCAAAAAAATCAGTTACAAGCTTACAAACTACAACATTTTAATCTGTATTCTTATTTAAAGAAAACGAGGAAAACGACAAACATTCTTCTTTGAGTTATTTTTTCTTTTAAATCATATTATAGATCATGTTAATATATTTAAATAATTAATTTTTTACCATATACCAGAGTGAAATTTGAATTTAATAAAATCCGGTTTAAAATTATTAACTATTCTGTATTCAATATTCAGTATTAAATTCAGTATTCAGTATTCAGTATACAGTATTCAGTATTCAGTATTCAGTATTCAGTATTCAGTATTCAGTATTCAGTACTCAGTATTCAGTATTCAGTATTCAGTATTCAGTATTCAGTATTCAGTA